TCCTATAGGAAAGTAAAACCTACAAAACTTTCAGAGTTTCGCAATGTCGTCAAAATGAATGATAATTATAATATTGATAGAACGAAATCAATAGATTAGTAAATTTTTCAAATATTCTTTAAAATGTAAGTTCCCAATAGAAAATGCACGAACAAGTTAATATAAAATAATAAATGCACTAAATCATCTACTATCATATAAATCTTCATGACTGACTAAAAAACATCTAGATCCTGGTTGATTAAAAAATATAATAGAAGCACACGCACAAGAAGCTAAATCATACATTGAATGAAAACATATCAAAGTTTTTGTAATTACCTGATTTTCAAAGGGATATTTAATGAAACATTTTTTTTCTAGTGATATCCTCTATAGGATATCTAAGAATTGAGGGAAATGCTTTTAGGATTTCTAAGCAAATAACACAAACCAGAACAAAGAATTAGGGTTTTCTTAGTTAGGCATATACAAATATTTGGTTCAGAGCTTCACTTGGTAAAAAAAAAAAACATTGTAAAACCCTATTAAAAGGGGGGAAGGGGAAAAAAAAAAAGACTCTTAAACTAATTGAAAAAAAACTAGCACAATCAAAATCAAAGAGGTAGAGAAAAGTGTCATACATCCAAAATAAGATAAAAAGTGGCGAGAGCTTCCTTATCTCCAAAGAAACCTCTTGTGTACAGTCTATTTATTCTAAACAAATGAGAGGGAGAGAGAGTAAAGATAAACGAAAATGGCTTGGGGTTGAGAGAAAGAGAGAGACAGTTGCATGAGTTGGCTGAATTTGGTGGAAAATGGTTGGAGGACAGAGAATTGAAGGAAAATGAGAAAAAAAAAAGCTTTTATACTATAACACATTTATTTATTTCATAAAAATTCACAATTACTACTTTCCATTAGATGTCAAATTCGATACTTGGAAATTTGAGAAATTTGTTTTGAACTTTGAGTTTAGTAAATGATATACTTACAACCACCCAATTTGAAATTTAACAAACAAATCCTTATATTAAAATGAGTGTTTTAAAAATCAGTAATCAATGATATACTTACAACTACCTAATTTGAAATTTGATAAACAAGAATGATTGTGGGAGTGTTTTAAAAATCAATAATCAATGATATACTTACAACCACCCAATTTAAAATTTGACAAACAAGAATGATTGTGACTTCCTTTTATTAAAAGGAGTAATCCAAAATCCAAGATCGAGCGATATGGATCAAGCATCAATAGCACCTTTTCGGATCCACTAATAAAACGGGATCTTGTATGACATCATGACTAGCGACGACGATTCTCTATAAAGGGATGTCATTTTCTATAAAGTGATGTTATGGCCCAAGAGTTTGGACAAATTTGTTATAAAAAATGGTGGTAGTTGAAACTAGATATTGTACGACATCATGACTAGCGATGATGATTCTCCATAAAGCGATGCCATGACCCAAGAGTCTGGTCAAATTTTTTACCGACTTAGACATGTAGAGACTGTACCTGACATCATGTTCACCACATAAGCATCTTCACTTTCATAGTACCGTTGAGGTCACCGTTTATAGAGGTGTACTCTCCGCAAGTCCTTGAATGTGGGATTAATTTTAGCCTTCTACATTTCCTTCCAATAACAAGTTCGCCATTGCTTCATTGGATGCCCAACGGTAATTGTAAGGGCCTTTAATAAGTCATTTTGAGTTTTTTTTTTTTGGGTGAATTAGTCATTTTGAGTTGGGAAAGAGTAAATGCAGAAGCCCTACTTCATGATAAAACCTTCAATACATTATTTAGGATAAATTCGTATATGCTTGATTGCTTCTATCTCTCTCTTATTTATATTCGTCTACATGAAATAATCTACAAAATAATTCCCTTTTTTTAGATTAATGATATTTATTTCTTTTTTTATAATCTATAAAAAATAAAAGTCCATATAGTTAAGTTTTAATTACATATAATTATATAGAAAATTATATTTAATTAATTTATAAAACTTAGTATAACTAATTATTATTGTTTATTTATCTTAATAACTTGTTAAACTTTTGTCGGTATAATCATATGAACGTGATCACATTAAAATTTATAGGGGATTTTATTTATTTTTTAATTATATGATATAAAAGTATTTTCTAATAATTTTTAAATCATGTTTATTATTATATTATAATTAATAGTTATTTATTAATGTATTTATATTATAAATTTTGTAATGTATTATATTTTGTTAGGGAAAAGTTTATATAGAGCTGAGGCTCTAGACAATCAAATTTGAGCCTACCTCCATAATTTCACTATAAGAGGTTGTTTTGATGCCCGAATATTTACAAATTGATCATCTCGACATCAAGATGCATGGACATGATAAACAAATGGATTGCAAGTTTTAGAAATAGTGTATTTTGTAATGCATTTTTTGACCGTTAATTTTCAAGATTTTCAAGTTGTCATAGATATGTCGATCTACACTAATTTTGAAGTTTTAAACTTTATAAATAAATATGAAACTATATTTTAAGGCTGTCACAAAGATTTCCAATATTGAAACAACATTTCTCGACACTATTTGAAGGTAGGCTCTAATTTGATTGTTAGAGCCTAGGCTCTATACAAACCACACCCGTTTTGTTATAGTTGTAAATAATTTTTTTAAATTAAATGGTATTATAAGATATTTTAGATTTGTTTTTATTTGTATAATAAAATAATTATAAAATATAAAGTTATAAACCATTAATTTTAATTTCAGTATATGATATTATAATAAGTTAGGTTGTGATAATTTTAGATGAGTAAAATTGATTAATAAATATTTGATACTTTGATCTGATACTAATTTCACTTTATATGAGAAATTATTGTTTTTAATTTTATAATATGGAAGTGTTTTCTAATATTTTTAAATTATTTTGATGTAATATTATAATACTATATTACAATTAGTAATTATACTGACATCCAGATTGGAAAAAAACATTTCAGTATTCACCTATTTTTACAAAGTAATGAAATTATATAATGCACCACTCTTAAATTCTTTTAGAAACTAAAACGAATCCGCCGATTCCCCAATCCGATATGGGTATGGGTGTGACGATTCGAGTCACCGATACGTTTTTCTTAAACCTTGATTAAAAGTAAGGACAAAGTTTCTATGAGTTGGCCGACTCACCTATTCAAATGAGTCCTCTCCTAAAGTCTATTTTAGATATGGATTTTGGATTCAAACTTTTGAGGAATCTCAACAATGATAAGTAGTAACATGAATAATTAAATAAAATCTTAAAGACACAAAAAATTTTTTTTTTGACATAATTTTAACACCATCAATTTTTTAGATCATCATTGTCCAACATCCATATCCATTATGGATATTAGATATATTAAGGGATGCTATGGTAGAAGTGCATCCCCCTCATGCATGAACTGCTTTTCCTAAAAGTAAACGGACCAAGTTTCTATGCGGCCACCAAGGTTACATATGTAGAAATGTGGGTCTCTTAATAAATTTATTTTTGAGATGGATTTTAAGACTTAAATTTTAAAGACATGTAATCTCTAACATGGAGATCATGAATATGAAAAAATAAATAAAGTTTAAAAACTAGGAATAATAATTATAGTAAAAAAATATTTAGATCGTTAGCACTTTTCTCGACTGCATGTGTAGAAATGTGGTCCCACCCACATGAAACAATGTTCCAAAAGTAAATGGCGTCTTTGTATATTTTTTTGGATGAAGTTTCTATAAGGCTTAGATTTTAAAATAAAGCATCACCTAAAATTCTTGTCCAAAAAGCACTTTCGGCAACAAAAATCTCCTTTGCCAATTGACATGTAGAACAAGTCTAAAATCAATTTTCAGCACCGACAATGAAATTTGAAACAAACAAAACAGTACAGATCTTGCATATTT